TGCTCGACGCTCACATGTCACAAGCAGGAGACTGGGTCACCCTGAGCCTCATTTGGAAGGGTTGGATCAATACCACCATAATTAGGACTTTGTCAGCAGGGCGGGTGAGGGCCCAGACTCCAGGGCTGGGTGGGTGCAGTCAGGGCAGGCTTCCAGGAAGAGGTGTCTCAGAGTGGGGTTGGAGCATCCATAGGACTCACCGAGGTGTGGAATGCTGGGTGCCAGACACTGTGCTTGCTGCCTGGATGCCCATGACAACTGGCGAGGACACAGAGGCTCCCTGAGACGCTGCTGTGGGGACGATGGGTGCCAAGTGCCCCTCACGTCACTGCATGGCAGCCCCCACCCCGGCGCCATCCTATTTATGGATTGCAATGCGGGGTGCTTCTGTGTGGTGGTGTTAATTGGGGCTGGTTTTCATAGAATGCGCCTGATGGTGGCAACTGCAAACGCCTGTGCTCAGTTCACCTGCTCAGGGGATGGGGAGCGGGTTTGGGGGCCATCTTGCCCCTTGGTCATGTCTGTCACCAACAGACCAGAGCCCATGTCCCCCACCTGGGCCCCTGAATGGTCTAGACCCAGAAGTTGGTGTGGGGAGGGGAGCGCACAGGCCCCCTCCTGGGTAAGACAGAAATGGGGGCCTACATAGTCCCTCTGAGTCAGGCCTGGCCCAGGGTGTAGCCCAGTGGGCAGTGTGTCCCTCTGCTGGTCTGGAGGGGTCTCTGGCTGGAGCCTGGGATGTGTCCTGAATGATACTGACCTTGGGGCCGGAAAGCTGTGGTCCTCCCTACCAGGACCTGATGGAGAGAGTTTGGCCTGTTGAGGGGAGAGCAGAGGAGTCTGGGTGGACTGAGTGGGAGATGGATGGACAGGTGGACAGGCACTTGGACGGGGCACCTGGCAGTCAGGGAGAGTGAGAATCTGCTGGGTCAGCCAGCAGAGGGACACCGGAGAGGAGTCCTGTGGTGGAGGGGGCTGGACGGGAAATCTGGACAGGTGGCGGGTCAGAGCCTGGAGGTGGGTGTGGCTGCAGCTGCTCCTAGGGGCAGAGGGGCCCCAGGGAGGGCTCAGCCACAAAGCCCCCCTTGGTTCTCAGGGGCCCTGGTGGTCCCGAGGCTGAGCTCCCTGAGCTCCTGAGGCCTTGAGACCCTCCTCTACCTACTCTGCACAGAGGCCAGTGACCCAGAAGCCCCTGGCACTGCACACCCCTACTACTGCTTCTCCTCTGTTCCATCATTTTTCACAAATAACTGTGTAGCATCAGGCTACCCCTGACCCAGGATCACTGGCTCCGTGTCCCCCAGAACCTCCCAACTGGCCTTGTGGGACGTGTGTGTCAAGGTGTTTCCCCTGCGAAGTCTCGTTCATTCTCTGTTTATATTCATTTTCCTCCCTCCTTGGTGAGTGTCCTGGGAAGCCTCCCCTTGGCTGTGCTGGCTGGGAGGGGCCGCCCCTCCCATCCCACCCTGGCTGCCACCCCTCCTCCTCCCCAAGATGGATGCTTTTTTATTGTCCATAAATCTCCTCTCAGCCCTTTGTGTGGATGACTGGAGGCCTCCTGTTCCCTGGTGCTTGTTGGCTGCCGGCTTGATTAGCACTCCCCACTCCCCGCAGAGGAAGGGAAGGGGCTCTCTGTTGCCCCCAGGGTTATTCTAGGGGACCAAAGCTGGGGCTTCTCCCTCACATGTCTATCTGTGTGGACTCAACGTGCCAGACCACAGAACTGGCCTCCATATGTCCAATCCCAGGCGGCCCCAGGGTTGCGGGGTGGCTCAACGCCCAGCAGCAGCCTTGCCGGCCCCCTGGCCGGTGGCCTATGAGTTCCACCTGGCACACAGTAGGTGCCCAGTAACCACAGGCTGAACAGACCCCACACCACCCCCACCTGGGTTGGAGGAGAACTTGACCAGCAACGAGGGCAGGATACTCGAAGCTGGGTGTCCCCCCACCCCCGCTGCCAGCAGTGGCTCCAGTGGGCCCCGCCGGCCCCGTTGTGCGATTGGTTGAGGAAAGGAAGGAAGTGCTGTGTGAGCTCCCAGCTCCCGGCTGCCGGCTCCCACGGGGGCCAGGTGCGTCAGATGGCCCAGTCTGGCCCCACTATGTGGTGCACAGCTGGGGACTCCACAGGGCTGGGGTCAGCTGGAGGATTGGCCCCAGGATGGTGTGGCAGGACGTCCTGTCCGCCTCTCCGCTGGGGGCTGCAGCCATCTCAGAAGCGCGGGAGTCCCTCTCTCAGCAGCTCTGGGAGGATTTACTTGTTCCTCACAACAGGCAGGGAAACCGAGGGCCAGCGAGCCATGGTGACCTGCCTGGCCCAGGTCCTGATTCTGGACCTCCCTGCATCCTGGCCATGCAGGTCTAGGTGCTGTGGGTCATCTTCCTGGAGGAGGAGTCATGTTGATGTTGAGTGTTGCAGTGAATGGATGGGGCTGGGAGGAGGGTCCTGAGGTATTCTGGGGTGGGGCCTGGGGTGGGCAGTTGTCGGGAAGATGGGGCAGGACCCTGGATGCCTCCAGGACTCCAGCCTGGCCCTGTGGCGAGGGCTGCATCCAGAATGCTCCTGTCCCTGGGGCTGCCCAGGCCTCATGTGGGAACCCTGCCTGGCCCCTGGGCCATGATGGGCTTGGGGCAGGCCTGTGGCTGGGGTTCCAGGGCAGGTTCAGCCCAGCGCAGGCAGGAAAAGAGGGGGCAGGCAGGGCAAAGAGCAAGGCTGCCTGAGGGTCTGGGTGCAGTGGGACCTGTCCTGTGTCCCACCAGCTCAGAGGCTGCCCATGTTCAGCGATGCCCCAGACAGAGGGACACCCCCAGCCCCCGAGATGAGTGATGCCCCCAAGCTGACTGGCACAAGTGGGAGAGATTGACGCCCAGGCTGAGTATCAGCCAGCGCTGAGGTGGGGATGCTGAGGCCACATGGTGCTATGGGGCACAGCACGCTGGTGGTGGGTGGCTCTGAGCAAGCATGGCCTCAGGCATGTCCGAGGCTCCAGAAGCATCATTTCATGCCTCTGAGCCTTAGTGTCCTTGTCTGCAGGCTGAGGGTGTCGGCAGCCTCTTCCCGCTAGGATGTGGGAGTGGCTGAGGGCCAGGGAGGGCCAGTGACCAGGCAGGTGCCAGGTGGTGAGGAGAAACTTTACCCTGCAGTCCCTGGGCCCCAGCTCACCCAACAAATAAACACTTCCTTCCCTGTGAACACATTCCCGGCATATCCTCCATCTCACTGGACATCCGTCTACCATCAGCTGCTGAATGTTCTGTTGCCTGTATTACTTCAGAACTCATTTAAGGATTAAAAAATAATTCTTCCAATTACTGTGCAAAACCCTGGGCGTTGGATAAAGGAAGCAGGTGATCCTGTCTGAGGACCTGAGCCAACCCTGCAGGTAGACGGCAGCTCAGGGTGGCTCCAGGGCCCCTTGGACCCCAGAGGGCCTGCAGTCATGCTTCACTGCCCTCCTCGGGCCCCAGGGTCAGGGCTAGTAGAGCAGTGAACGCTGGGAGGAGCCCAGCCTGAGCCCAGCACCCTGAGAGCGCCGCTCACCACCTCCATCCACCCCGACGAGCCCCGGGCCCACCGACTGCTTGGTAGCACCAGCCTGGCCAGGGCCTGGGACACGGGATGGACCTCTGAGCGGGGAAGGATCCTGTTCACAGGCTGCCCTGTGGCTGGCCTGGCACCCTTGGACAGGGACCACAAGAGTCCCAGTAAACTAGAAGCTGGCCTAGGGGTGGTGAACACGCTCGGTGCTGCTTCTTGTGGCCTGAACTGGCATCCTGCTCAGGTCCCGGGTCCTGGAGACCGAGGCTGGATGCCAGTCACCGGCCACCTGGGTCCAGTGGGCCTGACCTCAGGGACCCAGTGGGGCCGGTGAGGGGTGGGAGCAGGCTAGAGCTGTGCTGGCTGCCCGGGCCCAGCGCTGCCCCCTCCCTGCCCCTCACCAGCGCCAGCTAGTGATGTCATCTCTTCCTGGGCTGTAAATATCACCCAAACTCACAACTCCCAAATTGTCCTCCCACCCGGGCCCCTCTCCTGAGCTCAGCCTGCACAGCCCACTCGACACCCCCGCCCAGATGTCTCCTGGGCCCCAACAGTGGGGGCCGCTCCTCCCAGGGCCCCCACCTCAGGGCTGGGCTGCTCAGCGCAAACATCGGGAACCCTGCCTTCCTCTGCCTCCTGCTAGGTCCAAGGCAAACTCAGCCACATCCTTCCTGGTTCCCCACCCGACCCTACTGGGCCTGGCCAGACCTGTGCCCCCTGCCCACTGCACGACGGCCAGATGGACCTTCTCTGGCAATGAGAGCCCATCCCTGTTCCTCGGGACAAAGTCCCCAAGGTCTGCCCCCTCCATACCCCCGGGTCCACCTGCCTCACCTGTCTGGCCCCTTGTCCTTACTCCGTGTCCCCCATGGCCTAGGTTCCCCTCCTTGGACAGTGGAGGATGCAGGCTCCAAGGGACTTGCCAGAGCTCTGGCAGCACCAGAAGGAAAATGTGGCCGTGAAGGCAGGGCCCATCAAGGGTGTCTGGGGGAGGTTAGCCAAGCTCCAGTTCAGTGTGGGGCCCGTAGCCCTGAGCTGTTGGTGGCATCCCAGCCCCCACCTGAGGGCCAGCTGATGGTGAGAGACACAGTCAGCCTTAGAAGAACCTTGAGGGCAGACGGGTGCCTCTCAGCAAGGAGCAGGGTCAACAAAGGTAGTGAGCGCCCCATTCCAGGAGCTGTACGAGCTGAGGAACTCACGTGCACCTCAAAGCACTTTGCCAATGGGCGTCTGGCATCTCCTGGCTGCCAGGAAGGTGGTAGGAGCCCAGGGGCCACCCTGCCCCTTGTGCAAGAGTCCCTCAGCCTCAACCTGGAGCCTATATCCTCTTCAGACCTGGCTGTGTCTTGTTGGGCATGGCAGGGGCTGCTCAGGAGAAAACTGGATCAAGAAATTCCTGCCTACGTTCCCTCTGCCCACCGACACCCAGGCGCAGGCTGGCGGACTCCTGGGCCTGGAGGTGCAGTCACAGGGATTCCTGGGGGCTGAGGCCGTCCTGCACCTCCAGACCAGATCCACAGAGCTGTGTGCGCAGAGGCTACGGAAAGGGGGCAATGGGTTCTCCTGGGCCCAGGGGGGCCTGCCCAAGCTGCCCACTCTGAGCCTGAGGGCCTTAGAGCTCAGATGTGCCTGCATCCACTGTGCAGAGGGACAAACTGCCAGGGCTCACGTTGGGTGGGGGCAGTGCCAGGGAGCCCAGGCCCCAGGGCTTCCTAGAAGAAGGGATGGACATGTGGGAGGACCCAGCTGAGGAGGGGTCGGGCCAGGCGAGGGCGCCCCCCACCACAGCACCCGGACTCTGCCCCGGGCCGGGGCTGGGAGGGTCTGAGCCCCGTCCGCGGGCGCAGAGTGGTTGGGTGAGGGAGCTGGGGGCCTGCTTGCTAAGCACACCCCCCTCCCTTCCTCCTCCCCAGGACTTCTGGAGTCCTGGCCGCCCCCACGGCCATCTGGCTCCACCAGCAACACTCCCTCACTCCCTCCCCAACTCACTATGTGTTCCTCCCTCTTCCTGCTCCCTCAGGCCCTTGCCCTGAGGGGGATGCTGGGATGGCCACATGGCCTCTTCTCTTTTGTTCCTGAGTCCTCAGCCCAGGCCTTGAGAAAACGAATGTGTGCGTATTTTTGCCTGCGCTGTGTGTGCTCTGTGTGAGCACACGTGTGCGTGCATGTGTGCATGTGGTGTGGGATGGTACAGGCATGTCTGTGCTTCTGGCATGAGACCACAGGCCGTGATGTGAGGTGGCACGTGGTCCCTGTCAGGCTTCAGAGTGGGGGCAGCCTCACCTCCCAGCTCTTCACCAGGGCTACCCTAGCCCACCTGCACAGGGTCCTCCTGGACCTCAGGCTCCTCCTGGGACCACCTCAACCCACATGGGAGCTGGCGGCAGCTGGGGCTGGGCTGGCACCTCTAGGGACTCTATGTGACCCCAGAGCACATGTCCCCACAAAGGCAGCCTCATCTGGCTCCTATGGGCCTAGCACATGGTCTGTGCAGGACACATACCTCTCTCTGGACACCTTTGTCAACCCAGCCAGAAGGGAGGTGGTCAAGGTACACTGATGTCAGTGTTCACGGCCGGGGGTGGGGGCAGGCACCACAAATCCCTGGTGGCCATCAGGGGTGCTGCACCTCTTGGCAACTGTGCCCCGTCCTGAGCCTCCACGTGCCCATGCCTGGGGCAGGGCTGCACCTCCAGGGCCCGCCCGCCTCTCATGGCTCACAGCATCCCCAGCCTGAGACGCCATAGCTTAAGAAAAGAGCTCTTTATTCCACGTCGTCCGATATTTTTACACAAGTAAAATAAAATGCATATCTCTATATACCGCGATCCGGGCGGGAGGCGGCGTTCTGGAACAAACGCCCCTACCGCACCCTGTAAACATGATGGGGTGGAGACAGGAGGGGGTGGGCGGGCGGAAGGCATCCGTCAGGGAGGGTCTGCCACCGGTGCTGGCTGGTGGCGTGGAAGGGACCCCGTATGTACACACACCTGGCTGCTGGGGGGAGCCTCGTGGTTGGTGGCCGGTCAGCAGGGCCTAAGCACCGTCCACAGCACCAGCGCGAGGCCCAGCGGGGCGAGGCTGCCGG